TAGGCAAACCACGACGGTAACCTCAGCGAGAACGTCACCAAACGAAAAGTTTTGATGAGCAATACAATGGCTGTTTACGTACGTTATAAATTTTTGTACATTTCTTTGCCCTCCATGTCTGCACAACAACAATTAATGTGAAATGACCAAGTTCTGCGTACTTTGGGAACGCGAATGACGGCCGCTAATTCTTCCGTATTTTCACTTGAATTTGAAAGCTGGCGTGACATGTTTAGCTTGAGCAAGTTCTGAGACCAATAGGCGCACTGAACAGATCTAGACAACTGGCGAAATTCGAAGGTAAAATATAAATTCATTTTTTACTAGGCGTTGTCTTCGGGGTCGNAGTTCTGAGACTAATAGGCGCACTGAACAGATCTAGACAACTGGCGAAATTCGAAGGTAAAATATAAATTCATTTTTTACTAGGCGTTGTCTTCGGGGTCGTCGTCGCCATTGCTTAAGGTGGCTCGATCAGATTTTTGAGTAACGATACCGTTCAACTTCGAGCGACTAGAGTACCACCATTATCAATCAAGTAGTTTTATTTCCCGCCCAATTTAATCATTTCAGGGTCAATTTTTGATAAAAAGCAAAATAACACCTCACACCAGTTGGTATTTAAGCCAATGTTTCTGAAAGTCAAACAGAGCGATTTCTTTGAGATTTCCACTTCAGGTAATTAGATGTTATAAGATTCATTTGAGACCAGAATAGCATTTAGTCAAGTCTTGTGGACATAGTTTGCAATAACAGCTTCGTTTTTGGTGTATTTTGACACCTCGAAATTTCATTCGCAATCTTCTCGAAAATGCTCTAGAAGGGGCCTTCACACGGCAAACTTAAGTTGACAAACTCGTGTTGGCAAACTTCAAAAAGTTGGCAAACGCATTCCTTCACACGTCAAACTCGCGTCAAATCACAACACACGGTAATTTGCAACATGGCCGATTTGGTGCAATGGCACTCACGTAAAACAATGGAACAGAAGAAGAGAAGAAACAGAAAGCGAGAAAGGTTTCGACGAAACTCAGTTTGTCCGCTAGCTCTTCCATTTTCTTTTGTTTGTTTTTAGTATCTTTGAGGTGTAGACTACAGATGAAAGGTCCCAAACAGCCGGACAATTGTGAACCCCTTCGATAAATTTAAAAGTGGCCTCGCGTTCATCTTGACTTGCGTCCGCCATTTTGTGAAGTATCATGCAAATGAATCACGTGAATACAGCGCGTGTTTTGATTGGTTAACAGTTACCAACACATGTTTGCCAGTCGTTCACACGTCGGATACGAGTTTATCAACACGAAAAAGTTGGTGAAAAAGTTGGCGAAAATAGAGGCAAATTCTATTTGTCGCCAACAGTTTGCAAATGTGTTTGCCAACTGTTTTTGTGCTGTTCACACACACCAACTTGAGATTGCCAACACGAGTTTGCCAACTTTAGTTTGCCGTGTGAAGGCCGCTTAATAGATTTTTTTAAGATAACTATGTCAAGTGCGAGATCCAGACGTCGTATTTCCAAAATTATCCCTGCTGGCAAGTTATTCGGTCTTATGTAAAATAGGGTATGCGTCATTTCGTTGCTATGGTAACTCAGACCTTCGTAAGACTTACCTAATTTGAAACTTTCACCTTTCTCTAGCACACCAGTAACGTTTGATTTTCTATTGGATTGATAATGGTGATGTTCTAGTCGCTCAAAGTTGAACGGTAACGTTACTCAAAAATCCGATGGAGCCACCTTAAGCCCCCTATTAATAATTATGATGGCTCAAACTTACGTTTCCCAGTCCTCCTTCGCTTCCTTCCCCATCTGCGGAAACTTCGTTCATAAAGTTTTGAAGCTCAAAGTCATTTGCTACATCTTCATCACAATCGTAATACCTTGAGGAAAAAAAATAAGGAAGGGGAACGGATCCTTTTTCATTAATTTGATAAACATTCA